TAACTGTTTATGAAATGGAATGTGCAAAATCTATCTCTTACAACTCGTATATATCTTATTGTATATCTTATCGTGTATATCTTATTGTGAAAAAACACAACAATATAGAGAAAATGGTCGGACACATAGAAATATACATCCCGTTGCATCCAAATTTGCATGGGAGCAGTGAGCTTGCACATTGGGATCTTTATTTTTAAAATTTTTGTTTTAAGTTTGACTGAGAACCATAGTATAAAATATCGATAATATCAACGAAATATCGAGGATATTATCGTTTTTTCAGGTCATAGATATTTCGGAACATATCCATACATATATCATATAAATATCAATAATATCGGAAAATATCAATGTCGATAATTTCGCTCACACTTCATCAATATTTTGTCAAAATATTGCTATAATATCGCTATAATATCGAAAATATTGATGTAATGGAAAAAATGAAAAAGAAACACACACACACACACAAAGGGGATTCAAACCCTTGCCATTTCACTCCTCCAATGCCTTAACAACTAAATTTCACAAACAACTAATAATGTTGTTTTTCACCAAAAATACAATAATGGAAGCGAGATGTTATTGTCACTCTAAAATAATTTATTATACGTGCTTTTTTTAGAGTCATAAATTTTAACTGTTTATGAAATCAAATGTGCAAAATCCATCTCTTACAACTCGTGTATATCTTATTGTGAAAAAAACCAATACATATAGAGAAAATTGTCAAATATACAGAAATATACATCCCGTTACATTCAAGTTTTCATGGAAATAGCGAGCTTTATTTTTAAAATTTTTGTTTTAAGTTTGACTGGGAACTACATTTTTTCTGTATTAATTAACATCTTCAACTTTAAAAATCAAATATGTACTGTCCCATCGCTGATAGCTAGGCAATCTATTTGTCGTGGACTGATCTGATTTTGTTTGATCCGAAATTGAGATTCCTGGATCCTGGCACACCTCGTTAAGGGACACATGACCATCAATTAATGACTTTTGTCTAATTTCCCTGAATTTCCCAAATTGGAATTTTGTGTTGCCATCTCTTTCGTATTTTATAGTGTAATTAATAATCCTCCATTTCTTTTCCACAACCATTTAATAAAATTATCAATCTGGTGAAATTCAAATTTGCAATTAATAATCCACCAGTACCGTGTCACTCACTCAGTGTCTGTATACGACTTTGACATATACCAACCACATGGAACATGGCAACCATTAAAAACAGTAAGTATTTTTTGAAAACAATGCATACTCTAAACTACTCTTTAATCTAATTTATTAAAAGAAATATTTGAACTTAAGTGAAAATAGAAAGGGGATTCGAACTTTGTTGTAAAAGAACGGGACTCAATGTCATACCCAATTGCTCTAACCCACACATGCAAATAAGAGTATTCCTTATTAAGATATATTTGCAACACCATTACGTCTTCCTATATTAGTTTCTAAATTTCATCGTTTTCAATAAATTTTATGTTAAATTTCAAAAAGACAGGTCATCGGCCCACTATTATATAGCAACACTGATATTGTCCAACTTAACCACCTACAAAGTCCCAGTAGGTATAAGATTAAATCACAAAAGATCTCAGTAATATTAGGAGTGTCACCACTTATTATAAATTGAATTTTATTTAGTTAATCATCTGATGTTGATGTAAGACTTATATTCTTCAACATCAAGGTTACTTTTGAATACAATAATATTTCAAGAATAAAGAATAGAAATAAAGCCACAATCATGAATCCTGTTTATATTGGGCATAACCACTACTCATCAAAAAGTTTCCTTTATCGCGTTCCTAGCTTTAATTAATCGGGGCCTTCTTAGACTTCTTGTTTCTAGATGCTTGAATTGAACCCACTTTTAATTAGACTTCGAGGGAGTATTTTGAGAGAAGGAGAAGACAATTGTGCACCTCACTTTTTCTTTGATTGACTTTTTATTCGTTAATTCTCTAAAAGTTGGAAAGATCCAACAGAAAAGTGAAATTTATGTGTTGTGAGTTATTCTTTACAACATTTAGAATATGTTTCATCAACTAAAACCTTTTTCTTCCCCTCTTAATTTCATACCCGTCTAAACGAAACAAGGAAAGTTGTACATCCTCTTTTTCTCAATTTCATACCCATCCTAAACCCTAAAAATAAAGATGCATATATTTTAAATGATTATGTTCTCAAAAAAAAAAAAAAGTTATCGTATTTTGTTACAAGCGAAATCATCGTTGTAATTAAATTTCTAGTTAACTAGAAGTTGATTTTAAGTTTTTTTGTTTAATTATAAATAAATAAATAAATAAATAAAAAACAAAGTCTCTATTACGGAGGGTAGCTATATTATAAGTATATGTGACTCTTGTCATTTTCATTTTGAACATTTCTTATATCATGGAGACCTATTTTGAGTATGGTGAACATATCATATATATATAGCCCTCCAAAAAAGAGCATATGATGACATTATGTTTTCCATGTTGACATTTCTTAGAAGAAAGTGATGGGGCCATTACTGATTTACTATCAAGAGGAGTTGAAAGTTGGGTGTGGTTTCTCAATTATTGGGTTTAGAAAGCAAAATTTACCTTTTCTGAAGGAAACAAAATGCTTCAAGTTATTTCTCATGTGCAAGGTGAAAGTTAAAGTCATTGCTCTAAGAATTTCATAGTTTTATAATGCAATACCAACTACCTTATTTATTACTCCAATACCAACAACCCCTTGACAAATTGACATAGATTTATCTTTTCTGGGTTTTTTTGTTTTTTGGGTCAACCTAAAGGAATTTATTCTACAAAACAAAGTACCAATATTCTAAACCTAAACGCTCATCAGTCTCGAGGTCCAGATTTGGACGCAACCAATATGCATACTTTCATGCAACAAAAATTATAGTGAGTGGAGCTATAAAATAGACGGTTTGAATTAGTGAAATACAATACGGAGTGAGTTCTACAAAAATGTTCATCCTTCAGGGTTTAGGGACACATCAACTTCAATGACACCAATAATTATTGTGTACCGGACGTACTTTCTGAAAAGACTATACGAATGATTAGAATTCATAGCATGGATCAAATTAAGGCTAATACAAATTAACATATATGTAAACTAAAGAGGTTAAGGAGCACCATAATCTTGCTGTGGTTCTTCTTTTTGTGTTTGATCATTTATCATCAATGTATTTTTTGATGAAGTAGAAGAACTTCAATTAAAAACCGAGGTGTTCTTAAGGTGACATCATTAAAACTTTGCCTTAAGAAATCCCCACGGAAAAAAAGAGAGTACCACACAACTCAACCAACTAACAGTACTCTACTCGTTTGCCCTATCTGCTATTTTGTGGCCTTAGTTTGATCGTTTATCATCAATTTAATTAGAGGACCAAGTAATGGGTTTGCTTAAATAATTAAAAGAAATAGAAACTGCAATTGATTTGCGTGATAGAGACAGGGACGATTGAAACTAGATGCTGAACCTCAACCTCATGCAGGCAATAGTACAGACTGGAGAGAGAGAGAGAGGCGGTAGCCTAACAAACTTTCAAGGGTCTCTTGGAATGTTAGTTTGAGAGTAAAAGAAGCAAAGCAAGGCAGAGTCAAATTGGACTAGAAAATTATATAATATTATTGTGTTAGTAAACTTTTTTCCTTTGCAATAAACAAATAATAATTTGCTAAGTTTGAGAATAAAGAAAGCACCCTTTCTGCATTATATATATACGTCGTGTTAAGCATTTTAGTGATAAAAATATAATGAAAAAGACTGGATCGACCATATAAATTTGTATGTTTTCATCTAACGGTTTACAACCTAATATTTTTGTTTAACAAGTAATTTCTAAATTTATATAATATATATGGTAATGGTACGGAAGATTCTTCTGTCCAGATTTCTGCATCACAAAATCTTCACACAAAAAAAAAAAATCATATACATCAAATAGTCCACCAACTCTGCTAATATAATAATGTTGGGTTTCCTTTGTTTATTTTTGGGTGAAAAAGTACTTAATTTCTAATTAATTCTTACACTTTTAAGTGATGAGTGATAAAAGAGCTGTACATCAAATAAATAAGTCCTTTTTTTTGCAATATTTGCTTTCGCATATGGTCACTACAAAAGACTACACATCAAATAAAGCCTTTAGTCACCCCAGCATTAGTCACCAAATATCACCAAATAATGGTGACTGTTGCAACTTTTTTTGTAGTGGGTTGTACAATACCTACTAGTATATATTACTATGACTCTCTTTACACTATGTGTCCTTTGTAATTTTTTTTTTCTGTTGATCTAATAAAATTCTATCGCCTTTTTATCATATTAATTGAGTGATCAACTCTCCATTTGGGAAAGAAAAAAAAAATCCCTCCTTTTGGAGGCCTAGTAGATGAGAAGATCTGCTCTGTAATATGAACATTTTGACCTTATAATTGGGGAATTTGAAAGAATTAATAGTTATTAAATAAATTTATAGCTTCTCATTATTCAGCATTTCCATTTATCCATTTGAGTCTCAAATGTGGAAGCATCGGAACCTAACTAATTGGGTGTGGACGGTGGAAACCGGTAAATCACAATATATTGGATAATTTCCATTATTACAGAATTATATGATCAAAGTGGTACCAAAGTGCACATTAAACAAACAATTCATTTGCAATGAGGTGTTGTTTTACTCATAATTTTTTAATATAATTACGTGTCTATATCTATTGTCAATCACGTGATAAGTCAGATGACAAGAGACGAGTGAAAGAATTAATGGATTTTTTTTAATCTTTTAGTCCAATTACTTATATACTCTGAAAAGAAAATGCTGTCACCATTGATTTTTAATGAGATGGGCTAAGGTAAAACCAGGACCACTAGGCAAAAATATAAAAAAAGGACCATAATATAAAATAAAAATAAAAAATAACGTGGGGAAAATGTGCAGCTATAAGTATCTGACTCCGAGCACACAGGAGACCAAATCAAACAAGCACACGACTTGAGGGAGATAAAAAAAAAAAAAAAAAAACCAGAGGCAGAGAAGAAACAGCTTCTATAGTGAAAAGGAGAGTTTTGAGTGTGAGCAGAGAAGGCAGGCACCAAAACAATGGGAAGAAGCGCTTGTTGTGCAAAGGAGGGCTTGAACAGAGGTGCTTGGACTGCCCATGAAGACAAAGTTCTCAGTGAATACATCAAACTCCATGGTGAAGGCAGATGGAGAAACCTCCCCAAAAAAGCAGGTAAAAAGAAATGTGCACTGCTTAGCTCATTGTATCTGATTATGTCTGAATTGTGCTTGAAAATTAAATCAATGGTTCTGATTAATTGATGGTTAATTAATTTATGCAGGTTTGAAAAGATGTGGGAAGAGCTGCAGGCTTAGGTGGTTGAATTATCTGAGGCCAGACATTAAGAGAGGCAACATATCACCAGATGAAGAAGAGCTTATCATTAGGCTTCACAAGCTTTTGGGGAACAGGTAATTTGTGCCATTTCATTGCTTTAAATAATTAATTATGAAATTCTACTAATTGGAAAGAAAACAAAAAGTTCATCATGATCAATTGGGATTTTGATTTTGATTTTTTTAAAATTTCAGATGGTCTCGTGAAATACAATACGGAGTGAGTTCTACAAAAATGTTCATCCTTCAGGGTTTAGGGACACATCAACTTCAATGACACCAATAATTATTGTGTACCGGACGTACTTTCTGAAAAGACTATACGAATGATTAGAATTCATAGCATGGATCAAATTAACATATATGTAAACTAAAGAGGTTAAGGAGCACCATAATCTTGCTGTGGTTCTTCTTTTTGTGTTTGATCATTTATCATCAATGTATTTTTTGATGAAGTAGAAGAACTTCAATTAAAAACCGAGGTGTTCTTAAGGTGACATCATTAAAACTTTGCCTTAAGAAATCCCCACGGAAAAAAAGAGAGTACCACACAACTCAACCAACTAACAGTACTCTACGGCTAATACAAATTAACATATATGTAAACTAAAGAGGTTAAGGAGCACCATAATCTTGCTGTGGTTCTTCTTTTTGTGTTTGATCATTTAATGAAATACAATACGGAGTGAGTTCTACAAAAATGTTCATCCTTCAACTGAAGCACTCTCTCTATATATATAACTGAAAATTGGTCAAAATTTCGATCTAGAATGTTTGATCACAAAGAAAAATGGATCGATAGCCAAGTCTTTCTTTATTTTTTCGTTATTTTGTCTATAAATTAGTGCTCTGTGCAGCTGTGCCGCATGAAACATGTACAACGAACAAGCAACTAATCAACACTGACATATGTTGTCGTGTGGAAGCAAGGACACATCAACTTCAATGACACCAATAATTATTGTGTACCGGACGTACTTTCTGAAAAGACTATACGAATGATTAGAATTCATAGCATGGATCAAATTAACATATATGTAAACTAAAGAGGTTAAGGAGCACCATAATCTTGCTGTGGTTCTTCTTTTTGTGTTTGATCATTTATCATCAATGTATTTTTTGATGAAGTAGAAGAACTTCAATTAAAAACCGAGGTGTTCTTAAGGTGACATCATTAAAACTTTGCCTTAAGAAATCCCCACGGAAAAAAAGAGAGTACCACACAACTCAACCAACTAACAGTACTCTACTCGTTTGCCCTATCTGCTATTTTGTGGCCTTAGTTTGATCGTTTATCATCAATTTAATTAGAGGACCAAGTAATGGGTTTGCTTAAATAATTAAAAGAAATAGACACTGCAATTGATTTGCGTGATAGAGACAGGGACGATTGAAACTAGATGCTGAACCTCAACCTCATGCAGGCAATAGTACAGACTGGAGAGAGAGAGAGAGGCGGTAGCCTAACAAACTTTCAAGGGTCTCTTGGAATGTTAGTTTGAGAGTAAAAGAAGCAAAGCAAGGCAGAGTCAAATTGGACTAGAAAATTATATAATATTATTGTGTTAGTAAACTTTTTTCCTTTGCAATAAACAAATAATAATTTGCTAAGTTTGAGAATAAAGAAAGCACCCTTTCTGCATTATATATATACGTCGTGTTAAGCATTTTAGTGATAAAAATATAATGAAAAAGACTGGATCGACCATATAAATTTGTATGTTTTCATCTAACGGTTTACAACCTAATATTTTTGTTTAACAAGTAATTTCTAAATTTATATAATATATATGGTAATGGTACGGAAGATTCTTCTGTCCAGATTTCTGCATCACAAAATCTTCACACAAAAAAAAAAAATCATATACATCAAATAGTCCACCAACTCTGCTAATATAATAATGTTGGGTTTCCTTTGTTTATTTTTGGGTGAAAAAGTACTTAATTTCTAATTAATTCTTACACTTTTAAGTGATGAGTGATAAAAGAGCTGTACATCAAATAAATAAGTCCTTTTTTTTGCAATATTTGCTTTCGCATATGGTCACTACAAAAGACTATACATCAAATAAAGCCTTTAGTCACCCCAGCATTAGTCACCAAATATCACCAAATAATGGTGATTGTTGCAACTTTTTTTGTAGTGGGTTGTACAATACCTACTAGTATATATTACTATGACTCTCTTTACACTATGTGTCCTTTGTAATTTTTTTTTTCTGTTGATCTAATAAAATTCTATCGCCTTTTTATCATATTAATTGAGTGATCAACTCTCCATTTGGGAAAGAAAAAAAAAATCCCTCCTTTTGGAGGCCTAGTAGATGAGAAGATCTGCTCTGTAATATGAACATTTTGACCTTGTAATTGGGGAATTTGAAAGAATTAATAGTTATTAAATAAATTTATAGCTTCTCATTATTCAGCATTTCCATTTATCCATTTGAGTCTCAAATGTGGAAGCATCGGAACCTAACTAATTGGGTGTGGACGGTGGAAACCGGTAAATCACAATATATTGGATAATTTCCATTATTACAGAATTATATGATCAAAGTGGTACCAAAGTGCACATTAAACAAACAATTCATTTGCAATGAGGTGTTGTTTTACTCATAATTTTTTAATATAATTACGTGTCTATATCTATTGTCAATCACGTGATAAGTCAGATGACAAGAGACGAGTGAAAGAATTAATGGATTTTTTTTAATCTTTTAGTCCAATTACTTATATACTCTGAAAAGAAAATGCTGTCACCATTGATTTTTAATGAGATGGGCTAAGGTAAAACCAGGACCACTAGGCAAAAATATAAAAAAAGGACCATAATATAAAATAAAAATAAAAAATAACGTGGGGAAAATGTGCAGCTATAAGTATCTGACTCCGAGCACACAGGAGACCAAATCAAACAAGCACACGACTTGAGGGAGATAAAAAAAAAAAAAAAAAACCAGAGGCAGAGAAGAAACAGCTTCTATAGTGAAAAGGAGAGTTTTGAGTGTGAGCAGAGAAGGCAGGCACCAAAACAATGGGAAGAAGCGCTTGTTGTGCAAAGGAGGGCTTGAACAGAGGTGCTTGGACTGCCCATGAAGACAAAGTTCTCAGTGAATACATCAAACTCCATGGTGAAGGCAGATGGAGAAACCTCCCCAAAAAAGCAGGTAAAAAGAAATGTGCACTGCTTAGCTCATTGTATCTGATTATGTCTGAATTGTGCTTGAAAATTAAATCAATGGTTCTGATTAATTGATGGTTAATTAATTTATGCAGGTTTGAAAAGATGTGGGAAGAGCTGCAGGCTTAGGTGGTTGAATTATCTGAGGCCAGACATTAAGAGAGGCAACATATCACCAGATGAAGAAGAGCTTATCATTAGGCTTCACAAGCTTTTGGGGAACAGGTAATTTGTGCCATTTCATTGCTTTAAATAATTAATTATGAAATTCTACTAATTGGAAAGAAAACAAAAAGTTCATCATGATCAATTGGGATTTTGATTTTGATTTTTTTAAAATTTCAGATGGTCTCTAATAGCTGGTAGGCTTCCAGGGCGAACAGACAATGAAATAAAAAACTACTGGAACACCAATTTAGGCAAAAAAATCCGAGACCCACAGCAGCAAGGCTCTGCTTCAAATCTCAAGCACCACAACAAAAATGGTGAACCAGTTTCCAAAAAGGCCAAGACTATGGAGGACATGCCCCCCAACATGACCTCACCATCACCATCCAAGGTGTCCCCAGTGGTCAGAACCAAAGCTGCTAAGTGCACCAAAGTTTTCATCAACCCACACCCTCACAAACCCCTACTTAGCCACCAACATTGTGAAGAAAACAACAGAGGAGGGTTGATGTTTGATAGGCCTGCTGGGGATGACCACACGAACAATGGGTCGTCGTCATTGTCCTCCTTCTCTAATATCGCTGATCAAGAAAATTCATCCTCGGATTTTCTAGTGGATTTTGACATGAACGAGATTAGCCTAGCAAGTCTCTTGAATTCGGATTTTCCGGCGATTAATTGTGACAATGCTGATCAAAATGGTGACAATATTTTCTCAGAGGAAATGTTGCAGCATTTGAATGATGGCGGCCACGATTGTGTTCAAGTTCAACCAAATTTGGTTCTTAATTTCCATTCCTTGACTTCTTTTCTCGATGGGGATCAAGGAGGGGAAGAATGGCTTAGAGGTAGTTGAATAATTTGCCATAATTATTAATCAAATAATTATATTTTTCTTGCCACTTACGTAAAAAGAAAATCATAACCAATTAAGTTGTACTAAATATGTGGAGGAGGACCCTTAATTATATAAATTAAAGACTATAATATTACTAGAGTGCCCCCCTGCAGGTCATGTTATCAGATTTTATTTATTTATTATCAGTTGCAGTCGTACTTTTATCTTGTTTATATTATTCTAAAAGAAAATATATTTAAGTTGCTTTTGAGGTGCATTATTTATCGATGGAATATGCTTTCATGGTGTATTTTATATGTCCTGCATTGGAACAAGAACTTTTTATAGGAACTTGGACTTGATCAAATTGTGATTAAAATTTGTATGATCGTTATTTGTTGCTGTCAATTATCACAGACAGCTGTGATTTATTTATTTATTTTTTTAAAACGGTGCCAATCATCTTTATTTATATTCCCTCACCGTTAAGTTTAATCAAGAGTTAATAAATATTTATTAAGAATTAACAAATAGAAATCAAATTTTGAATTCCGGTAGAAGAGAAGGCAATGGTATCGATGTAAATGTATAATTTTTTTATAAAGTGATATTCTAAATTATTCCAATGTACGAGGTGGGAAATCGAACTCTGATGCAAGAGAGCGTACACTACTTTAATGATTGACCTAAACTACATCCACAATGTTGAAAATACGTAAAGAAGGGAAAAGAGAAAAGGCAAGCAGTGCAACAAATGATTTTGATACATGTGAATGGGTGGAGGACCCCCACTATGATTGATAAGGAAATCAACAAAATTATTACAGTTCGTGCCAAGAGCCTCGATGTTGACCACAAAAGAGGTGATAGATTTAGCCCTTTCACCATTCAATACATAGTTAACATTTATTTATGGGGTCCAATTTGTGTAATTAATTACATTTGAAAATAACCTATTTAAACATGTATAGTTTATCTCAAATTAAGACAATGACTTCGATTTCTTTGTCATTTAATTTTTGTGCGTTTAGGAGTTAGTTCCCCCATTTCACCACCCAAAAAAAATGACTTCGATTTTTCATTCTTCTTATGATAAATTCAAAATAAATAAACCATAACTCAAGTGAAGTTTGAAGAGTCAAGCTTTGTTCTAAACAAAATAGTTGAAGTTTGAAAGAAAAATAAGCATGTGTGTGAGCGTGACACTTTTTTTTTTTTTTTACTAGTATGACTAATGCCATAAAAACAAGAGGTTAAAAATGGTTTATTAAACCAATTAGTCTTTTTCACCCAAACTTTGAATGTCAACAATCAATAAGATAAATTCAATGAGCTAAATTGGTTTATTAATCATGCATACCCTATGGGTTTATCAAAATCTTTAATTTCGTAAGCTTCTGTAGGAGTAGATTTACTAGCTCCTTCAATTCAAATCATCATCATCTTACTTCTCTTTCAATGAAACACCATATCTTTCATCACTAGTCATCTTCTCTTTTTTTGTTTTTGGTCGAAAGTAGATGTGATTTCAGAAAAGACAGCAAGCCAATAAAGAGATCCATTTGATGATAAGCCGATACCAAAATGGAAAGGCAAGATAAACAATTGGAAAGAAAATGGGATTAAAACTCCAACCAGTGAAAAGAAGAGAGGGCCCAAATTGATTTACAGAGAAACATAATCAAACAAGTGACCCCAATAAGCCAACATCAATCTTCAAACCAAAATACAGTTACAGTTCTTGAGGTGGACATAGAAAGCCATTATTGTTAAGCACCAGTCATCTATATAGCTCATTAGGTGGTACTTGAAACAAGATAACCTTCATGATGCTCACTTCGCTGAAACAGACTGAAAAATCCTTTTACTGGCACCAAGTAATACAAAAACTTCTCTACGTTTGATTATGGTTGAATATGATGAGTAGGATGTACTTATTAAAATTATATTTGTTTCACAATTCAATATGTCATTTTTGGTCATTTTATATTAGAGTAAATTAGTAATTCAATAAATAGTTTGGTAGTAAGGTGTACTCAGTTAATTTGAAGGTTCGTTTAACAGCACTCTTTATTTATTGTTTTATTCTAAATAGATGGATCAATATTAATGCAATTTATGGTTTTGTGTTTCTATTTAAATAAAACATAATAATTTTGCTCATCCCGCAATAATATATTTATGGAGGTAACTAACCACCTAATTAGAAATTGACACATAATTATATATAACGGGTAAAAAACCAACCGAATCACATATTCACTCTCTTGTCTGTCTCTCAGTAGCAATCACGTGTCTCTCGCACAAATGACTTCTATTCTATCCAGGCCACACAAATATCACTTTGAGTGGGCCCACTCATGTCAGCCTTTTAGGCCATCTCCAGCCATGGGCTAAAAAAAAATTGGCCAAATTTGGAGGGCCACATTTGGCCCTTTAAGGCCATCTCCAGCCATGGGCTATATCCCAAATATAGCTCTAAAATAATGCAAAATTCATCTCCAGCCATGGGCTAAATAAAATTTTGCCAAATTTGGAGGGCCACATTTGGCCCTTTAGCCCTCCAACTAGGCCACATAGCCTACCTTTAGTCTAGGCCAAATTTTTGTGGGCCCATGCATTTGCTTTTTAAAAGCCAACAATAAAGTAAGATGATGTCATAGCTGGATATATATAATAAAATATGAAGAATCCTAAAATATAGCCCTGCATGGCTGGAGATGGAAAAATTTAGCCCTGCGCTATTCTTTAAAAAATTAATATTTTGGAAGGCTAAATTTTTAGCCCTGGACTACATTTAGCCCTATGACTGGAGATGGCCTAACTAGGCCAAATGTAGCCCAGCTTTGGCCTAGGCCAATTTTTTTTGCGAGCCCAGCGAATGTGCTTTCCAAGAGGAGAAAATATTATGCGTGGGCAAGAGCACGAAACATCTTGTGCAACTACAAATCCAACAACCAATATTATAGGTGCGTTGACGTCATCGATGACGTTAGCTAGCCGTTAGGTTTTTATTTTTATTTTCAATATCCTTTTAAAATGTTTTTAGATTCGTTTTGTTTTAAATATATATATAATTGGTTTCTGATCGTTGGAGCTCAGAACTATTGATTGAAACGTTATTTTTTATTTGTTTATTTAAAACCTTTTTAAATATTTTAAATTCATTTTGTTTAAAAAAATATATATAAATTAAAAAATATTGTCTATAAATCGTAGTTTAATTAAATTAAACAATACTTAGTTGTGGAATATATGAGTGTTGTACCATAGTTTTTCTCAAAATAATAAAATATGAAGGGCCCTAAAATATAGCCATGCATGGCTGGAGATGGAAAAATTTAGCCCAGCACTATTCTTTATAAAATTTATATTTTAGAATGCTAAATTTTTAGCCATAGACTACATTTAGTCCTATAACTGAAGATGGCCTTAGATACTAGTATGTGCACCTTAGGCCATCTCCAGCCATGGACTATATCCCAAATATAGCCCTAAATTAATGCAAAACCCATCTCCAGCCATGGGCTAAATAAAATTTTGGGCAAATTTGGAGGGCCACATTTGGCCCTTTAGCCCTCCAACCGGGCTAAATGTAGCCTAGCTTTGGCCTAGGCCAAATTCATAGTGGACCCCACCATGTGTTTTTCAATCACCAAATATTGAAGCACTCCCCCACTTGCCTTATTAAAAGCTGGATATATATAGAGTTTTAAAAGCTGTTTGAATGTTTCTTGTTGGCAATGACCGTTGGAATCCATACCTATCCACACCCTTTAAATAATAATAATAATAATAATAAATAAATAAATAAATGTGGTCAGCAGTTTTTGCCATCTTTTCAAGTGTTGTTTAAAAAAATAATAAAAGAGTCTTTGTTCATAACCGTTGAACTCAAACATTGAATCCCATCCTTATTATTATTATTATTTTCATAAAAAATCTTATTCTTAGTTCGTGTCATATATGGAATATTGTCTCTAGTTGTGGAATGTATGAGTGTTTAATTAAATTAAACAATATATAGTTGTGGAATGTATGAGTATTGTACCATAGTTTTTCTCAAAATAATAAAATATGAAGGGCCCTAAAATATAGCCATGCATGGCTGGAGATGGAAAAATTTAGCCCAGCACTATTCTTTATAAAATTTATATTTTAGAATGCTAAATTTTTAGCCATAGACTACATTTAGTCCTATAACTGAAGATGGCCTTAGATACTGCTGGAGATGGCCTTAAGCCTTTAGGGAAGATGGGGCCATGATTCCTCTCTAGGAAATACATGCCCAAAAGAATTATATAAAATATGATTAAATTTATCCAACTTGGGGTGGCAGTGGTAGCCAGCAGGTGACAAAAGTTACCATATCTACTATAAAGAAATATATTTATATTTACTGTGTTCATAAATCAAAACTTACTTTACCACAAAAATCAAAATCAAAATTTAATTATAGGTCAACATCTAACACTCTTTGTCCATGAAACAAAATCAAATCTTCTAAACAAGTTTGAGAGTTAGATGATATAATTACGCACTCTAGATCCTTAGCTCCATGAAGAGTCTTTCATGGTAGTTTGTTGTTATAACTTATATAATTGACAAATATATGAAGACATGGATGATAAATTTATCTTAAAGATCTTCACATTTTCAACATGTGATAATTACGATCCCGAGCCTTTGCATTTAGAGCATTTGTATTTACTCGCATTTCATAAAATTTAGAGTGCTCAAATAATACAATGGCTTTGAATAAGTCACGTTAGCTAACTTTTTTGTTTTATTTACAAAATTTTCGGTAACGTGTTTTCGTTACCTCTCCGTATCTCTGTTTCTATAAACTCCATCTCATCTATATCATTTGTGTTTGGCACAAAGCTACTATTTCAGAACTCTTCATGCGAGGCATATGCAATATAATGAAAGTTACACATTAATGGATATACGTAAATCTGATACTATAATTAAGGGAGAAATACAAGGTGTCCCCTAAGATTGGATACACATTGCCATTGGTATTCCTTGGCATGAGATATGAGTAATCTCAATTAGATATTGAAAATAGAGAGACCAATACTTTCAAGTTTGAAGTTCCATCCATCAATTATTTCGGGTTCTTTTCAATACATCAATTACATGTGCCATCAATTTTTCCTGCTCATATATTGCTGTTTACTTTGTTCATCTCATGATTGTGAGACTGATTATTATTGTTTATGTTTTCTTATTTTTACTTTTGATATGTGAGACTGTGACCTTTAGCACATTTTTGTCCACATAAATATTTAAAATACAAAGAATGAGATTATTCCCATTAGTTTCAAGCCTTGTTGTTAATTTTAACCATTAATATTTTAAAGA